TATACGCACACACACACACACATATATATATATAGTCCTGTTGGGATGTGTTGTACTGAATACTGAACTCTACACAGGTACCAGAACAAACTAAATACGACTGACCGGGTTGTGTTTAATGTTTTTGTACTTTTATTTTGGCGCAGGCGGGATTAGAAGCGAACGGAGCTCAAGTCACTGTCACACGAACTCCTTTGAACAACTTGCATGGCTTGATGCATTCCTATTATCTGCAAAGGCGATATCTGTATTTGTTTGCTGGTTACATCTCGCCTCAGCAAACACCACAACACGTCGGCTGTGCTCAATATATGCTGCTCGAACGAATGCGGGAGTGGCGGTCTCAAGTAGTTCATATGTGAGAACACCGGGGGGCAAAACACAATTTGAAGCTTAAACTCTGATTTCAGTGATTTGCATTTTTGTTTCTGTTTTGTTGGAAAAAAAACAAAAAAAACAAAAACCAACACTCAGTTCGTTTCTCGCGTTGAAACGGGTTTACACTTAACTGTGGTGACTCTCGAGAAAGTTGTTTCTTGAAAACGTTTACATGAACTATCAAATCCTTATCGCGTTTATGTTACATAAACGTTTATGTAGTGACGTGAGTACTTGTGACTTGCCAAATCGATTACTCTCAGCCAAGATCAGGTGAAAGAATTCAGTTGATTGGCCAAAACTCGATCAGGATGAACAATGACAATCAATTGATTCGTTAAATATCAGAATTTGCGATTTCTGAATACTCCGACCCTCGTGTTACTCCTCACTTTAACTAATACTCCAATCGATAACCACTGGCTTTTTCCCAGACTGCGGTGTAGAATGTATACACCAATGGGAAATCCGGGACTAAGTCCCTAGATTGTTGGCGAATTCAGGACTGTTTCTGGCAACTGAGGCGAGTTTGCGGAATCGTGAACCAATCCATACGGTCTGTCCATATCTGTCTACTCACTACATATCTCCCTTGTTGGAAATGAGTCAAATGACCCTTGCTTCTTTTGGGGATTTCATTAGGTGTAATATGTATATCTATAATAACGCTATTTAGTGTGAAGAACACATTGCGAATACATCAGAAATCACAATTAAAACAAACAGTATATTGGTTGAGATATTTTATCAATATGTCCGCCGCCTTCCAAAATAGGTTTCAAACTCCGCACAAACCACCCGCATGGGGTAATGTTCTCGCACTATACGCTACTTTGGGTCTTCTATGTATGGTACACAATATCTTATCGCTCAACATATTTAACCGCGCTTTATCCGATGTAGAAGGTCCAGCTATACTCATAACATGGCTTGCCTTAGCCGTATCAAGCATATACTACAAAAACTATGCTCAAGACTGGGCTAACTGTGTAGTTGTCGGGTGGTTAGATATAATAGGCCTAAAAATGACGATCTCAATTATCAATTCACATGCATTCTCTGGTTGTACTGCCATTGCATTGTTGCATATGGCTGTATTGACACCTGTCATGCTTCATGATAACGTCCCAGAACTTCAGACTAAGGTATGTATTGCTCGGGTATCATTCAAGTGCATAAATTGATGTGAGAGAATTGCACTGTATGTGAATATGCTGGCTTATTTACGGTGCTCTGATACCATACCTTGAATGTGTCGTGGGTATATAAATCGATCTGAGTTGGTGTATATGTTACTCATTTTATACAAGTCGGTCTCCATGCCCCTACCGCTGTTTGTTACAATTCGTTCCAGCGATTCGACTTGCTCGGTTTTTCATATACGTATCTATTGCATTGAAGTGGTCTGAAGAAGCCGATATGTACTGTTGACTATGCGATTGCGTGTGTTTACTGCTCAATGTAGTTGCCAGCATACGTAGCCACACCCTAGTTACAAATAGCAGCTACCTGTTTTCTGTATATATGTACATACCTGTGTTTACAACAATATAGATACGTATTATAAATACGTATGAATGTACATAAGCATCCATATTATATATATATATATATTCATAAATAAATATATATATATATATATATATATATATATATATTATTATTATTATATTATTATATATATATATATATATATCTATATATATATATTATATGTGTATGTGTATGTAAAAGTGCATA